GTCCCCACACCCCATTTTCTCACTGTCCTGCTCTGGTGTCTCTCATATAAGGGGGCTTCCCAAAAAATCATGGAAAAGTGAAATTAAGAGGTCCTGAGGTCGTTCTACTAACCTTTTGAAGCCCCCTCCTGCAGGTCTCCTAATTCCCTATGTGTCTACCACGGCTGAGGGGCCCTGCCGTGTGTTGTTACACCAGGGTCAGGCCCATCCGCACTGGGACCGTGCCCACAGATCAGCAATTGCATGGCTTCATATTCATATCCAGAACTGCCGCTCGATTCCCATATCTTTGCTATTATCAAAGTCGTTGAGACTCGCCTAATCAGAAAGTCCATCTTTGGGGAAGGCTGGTGGAGCAGAAGCCCATAGGAGCCAATGGCTCTTTGAGCTTCCCAGTAGGACAGGGATTTGGAAACGCTTGCGTTTCTAACACAAAACAGCACAATTTAATATTCCTGTATTTCAAGGGAAAGGCTGGCAAAGAGAACAGCTTTTCTGATAGATCCCGCACACGTGAGGAACCGCAAAACCCACATGGGAAGAGTTCGGCTATCACTCTTGATTATTGTAGATTACTGGGAGAATGAATCAGCTACAGTCTTGACACTTACGGGGACTATCTTAGAATGCTGATTTTGATTTGCCCCAATCCTCACTTTTGATGAAGTGTCTCTTCTTGTGTCTACAGCCATCCCAACAGAAACACCTAAGACCATCACAGCAAGACCAGGTAAGCCCTGCGAACCCTGGTCTTCGTTTACCAAGTGGACTTTCCTCTCTCCCCACATGTGTGCCTGCTTCATGGGAAGCAAGATAGACCAAGAGTTCCCCACAGCTCTTCCGTCCACTCCACCAAAACCTTTAGGGCCACTCAACACCCCTGGGGTCTTTTGGCCTTGGCATACTGAGTGAACAAAATTCACTTTTTTGTGCCTATAGTCCTCAAAGCCTGGGTCACCTACAGGGGTCTCTAGGGGGTCTCTTTGCATCCTTTATGTGGTAGACCTAATGAGAGCATGCATCACTAACATGAGCGATGTCGGAGGCACCTCAAATGCAGTGAGCTAGGAGGGCGGGGGAAATCGGAAACTTTGGAGTCAGGATACTTGAGGTGAGATCTGCTACCCCCAGCTGTGGGACTGGAGTAGGTGGCTTTGTTGCTCCGACCTTCTGTGCCTTGTCGATAGTGCCAATGCCCCATGCTCTCCTGAGTTACACTTAGGGTGACGAGACATACGCATGCACACATACACACCCCTGCTTCATAAAGCTACAAATCGCGGCTCTTGTTATAGTGTTTCTTCAGCATGTAGTCAAGAGTGACTGACATATGCCTCTGGTGGAATTTCTACATAGCTGAAGGAATGTTTAGGCTAAATGTTCTCTTGGCCATCCTAAGGATGTATCGGCTTCCACCTAGGAGCCTGACTAATTGACTGACTCCTTTACCAGGTCCGCCATCTCTAACGGGATGGCTGGAGTAGGGCGTGGAAGTGGGCTCACCTAGCGCATGGGGAGTAGGCAGTGCCCCCCAGAGGGCAAGAGTTACCAGGTTTCTGTCTCCAGGAGCCTGGCCAGAGATGCGGCTGGTGGGCGGCTCGGGTCGTTGCTCCGGCCGCGTGGAAGTCCTCCACCAAGGAGCCTGGGGCACCGTGTGCGATGACTTGTGGGACCTGAACGAAGCTGAGGTGGTGTGTCGCCAGCTGGAGTGTGGCCGGGCCATCTCTGCCCTTGGGAAGGCCCACTTTGGTCCTGGCTCCGGGGACATCTTCTTGGACAACCTCCAGTGTGCAGGTGTGGAGCGTTATCTGGGCCAGTGTGCCCACTCGGGCTGGTCAGAACACAACTGTGGCCACCACGAGGACGCCGGTGTCATCTGCTCAGGTAACCTCCCCTCTCGGACCGTCGCCTCCTGTCCCAGAGCCATTCCTAGACCACTCTGGCATTCAGAGTCAGCTAGGGACAAGGATCTTTGCCGTACCTGTTAATAGTCAATGTCTTAACTGAGAACCGCTCAGAATAAAACCTAATTTGCTAATGAAAATTACCAAAAGAATGTGATTTTCAGAACTAGACATGTGAAAGTAGCATGTTATCTTAAGGGCATTTTAAAAGTAGTTTATAGACAGGTCGTTCATGGAAAGAGACAGAGGGAATGAGGAAAGCTAAGAGATTTTGAGCCGGATCGACCGAAGTTCATCTCCGAGCTGGTGGTAGCTGGGCAACACTTAAAGGCTTGAACACTTGATCCCTTTATTAGTAAAATTAGGAGACCAATTGCTTTTTTGCAGCATAGTCTGAAGGGTTAGATGTGACTTTGGAAACCACTGCGCAGTCGCCGAGAAAGAGCTCTTGTCAGTAGGTGCCATCAAGCTGACTCTGACTCAAAGCAACCTCACGGGCAACTGTCTGCCAGGCTCTGAGCCTTCTTCCCGATTATTGTCATGGTGGAGCCCATTGCTGCAGCCACTGTGTCAGTGCATCTGCTGAAGGCCCGTCCTCCTGGTTGCTGGCTCTCGGCTGCACAGGCATGGTGTCGTTCTTTGGGGACTGGTCCCTGCTGACAACATGAGCAGAGCCTGTGAAAGCAAGTCCTGCAGCTGCCCTTCTAGGGGGCATTCTGACCCTAGGTCCTCCAGGAGGGATTTGGGCGCTCCTCTGGCAGTCCAGCATGTCCTCCGTATTCTGCTCCAGCCCCACCGTTCAAGGGCATCGACTCTTCGATCGTCTTTCCAATTATTGCCCAGCTCTCGCGTGGGCATGAAGAAATTAAAAATGCCACGCCTTGACTCAGAAATACCTGAGACCTCCAAAGGACATCTTTGCTTTTGAACATGTTCAAAAGGTCTTTTGCAGCCTGTGGATGGCTGTTTCGATGGGCATTGGTTGTGGATCCGAGTAAAATGAACTCCTGGAGAGTTTTGATCTTTTCTTCAAAACCCTATGGGGTATAATCCATAAAATTAAACCAAAACCCATATCGGACAGTTTGCTGCGTCACACGGGGCCATTTATGAATCAGAAGCTGACGTGGAGGCACTCCAATCACCATGCAGTGTGGACAGACAGTCCAAGCTCCTCGCTGGCCTTGCACTTTCGAGGTTGTTTCCATTCGGGGTGTGATCTCTCCTTCCATCAGGCTCTCTCCGGCTCCACGCTTCTCTCAGCTCACTGTTCTCTGTGCTCTGTCCCCCGAGGACTCCTCTCCTAATTCTCTCTCCCTCCCCTCCCCCACCTCCAGTGCTTTGGGGAGCACCCCCTGCCTTACCCGAGTATAGAGATTTTCCTCCACTTTCCCATCTTAACTACTCTTCTCACAGACGGCGCTTCTCTGGCATCCCCCTTCGAGTAGAGGCTTTTCATGTCCCCATTCTGGGCACATCTGCCACTAGAGAGGACGCCCCCACCTTGTGCTGCTTTTGGGTAAGGGCAAAGGAGAGGGTGGAGAAGGAGTCTTCCTGGGGCAGATGAAATCCAAACTACCCTAAGCAACACCAGCATCCAGAGCCCTACCCACATATGGCTTTGGGGCCACTTGGCACAGCCCTGGTCCTCTTTGTAAAGGAGCCCAGGTGGTAACCCAGGCTTCCATGCTGGGCTGCTGACCACAGGGTCATGTGTTCAAGCCCACTAGCCACTCTTAAGGCTTCCTGTTGTGTCTCTATCTACATGTGCACTGCAGCAGCCTTAATTTTTATGTCTCTACATGAATCATGATGCGACTGATGGGTCCAGGTGTCAGGATTTTTGTTTTCTTGATGTTGAGGTGTAATCTCTACTGAAGGCTTTGAACTTCATCGCTAAGTGCTCTAAGTCCTCCTTACTTTCCGCATCCAAGGTTGTGTCATCTGCTTGTGGCGGTCTGCTGAGGGGTCTTCCTCCGATCCTAATGCTGCGTTCTTCTTCAGATAGTCCAGCTATGTGAGAAAGAGTAAATGCTGTCTATTCAGTGATTTTATTACCATTTTGCTCACTCAATCATACCACTAAGCAACTCAATGAATGACAACTAATCATTTTAAAGGGTCATTATGAGTCAGAATTGGCTTGATACCAGTGAGTTCTTTGAGAACTTTTATTTATTTGCAACAATTTTTAAAGCTACTTTGGATTTACACGTGCATAAACAATTTGCTTGGAGTAAGTTAATCATCTCTGCGATGTCTATGAATAACCCTTCCCAATACGAAGCATTTTGGTAAACGTGTGACTGTAGCACGTGGTGTGGCTTGAAAGAATTAGCATCCTTTTGTGGTGGTTGGACGCTGTGCAGTCAGTTCCAATTCAAAGCGAGCTTAGCTTGCAGAAACGCTCACAGCAGAGAGGCATCCATGAGAAAGAGCAGTTCGATTGTATGTCAATCCTGCCATTGTGGCATTCCGTTCGCGGTGCGTGGTCAAAGCCATTGTTGTGTTTGTTGGCACCTTCATGTTTTGCTTTGCTTTGTGGAATCTGGTTATGTGTGCTGCATCTACCCTAGCTGCAGCCTCAACCTCAGGAGCCACGTGTTACTTCCTAGATCAGATCTTCTGAAGGGCAAGTGTGTAAACCTAAGGTGCGCCCCACCAAGTTTCCCAGAGTGGAACTTTTTAAAATTTATTTATTTATTTTAATAGTTTTATTAGGGGCTCACACAACTCTTATCACAATCCATACATACATTAATTGGGTAAACCACATTTGTACATTCATTGCCCTCATCATTCTCAAAACATTTGCTCTCCACTTAAACCCCTGACATCAGGTCCTCCTTTTTTCCCCTCCCTCCCCACTCTCCCCTCCCTCATGAGCCCTTGATAATTTATAAATTATTATTTTGTCATATCTTGCACTGTCCGACGTCTACCTTCACCCACTTTTCTGTTGTCTGTCCCCCAGGGAGGAGGTCACATGTAGATCCTTGTAATCGGTTCCTCCTTTCCAACCCACCCCAGAGTGAAACTTATCTACTATAAACCCCATGATCAAACCATCCCAAATTCACCCTTCATATTGGGTCACCAGCCGCCAAGTCAATTTCTCATAATGTAGTAACAAACTAACAACCAGAGAGTAGCTTAATCTTATGTCTCTGCATGAATCTCCCAGTACTAAGTTATTTAAAGGGACCGACTTTTCCCACATCATATTAATAGATTCTTACAGGGTCGATAAGAGTCAGCATCAACTCGATGGCAATGAGTGTGTTTTGTTTGTTTTAAGAACATTAAAGCCTGTGTCTTTTGTTATTTGGAGAAAGGATTTCTCCAAAACACTCACATATGTATCCTCTATATCAACAGATGCTGAAGAATCGCTTGTTAACAATCCAGGTAGGTCACGTCTTTTGCTGATGGAACATGGAGCAAGTTCTCAGTAACTCTGGAGCTAAGTATTCTTCCAGCTCCAGATTCACGCCCCTCTGAACCTAACAAAAGGAGCCCGGTGACCTCTCAGTTAGTCATTGTACTGCTCACCACCAGGTCAGCGGTCCAATCCACCAGCAGATCCAAAGGGGAAAGGCAAGGCTAGCTGCTCCCAGAAAGGTTGATCGACGTGGAAACTACGTAGGACCACTGTGAGTCAGAATCCCACTCGATGGAGGTGGGCTTAATTGGTTTTTTCCTAAAGTGCAGATGTTCACAGCATTAAGATGCGTCAGAAAGTCTATTTTGGGATTCCCTCCCTCCACACACACAGGAGGTGATGGCTTTTTAGATTTATTTTTTTAATGTCCACACTTTTTAGAAGTATCTGCAGCAGCGAAATGGCTTTCCAGGGCTTTTAAAAATATATGCTGGTCCATCTGGTTCAACTCTTCCCTGACTAGCTTTTTCTCACTTTTTCCAGAAATTTCTCTCGAGTTCCCCTGTCCCTTATTCTATGCATGGCGCCCTGCTGTCCCCCTTCACCACACAATGTGGAGGAGTGTCTTGTACCAGTGTCCACACCTCACTAGTAAAGAGACTCTCCATTAAGAGTCCCTGGCTGGAGGGCTTTTGCCTTGGAAGAAAGTCTTGGTGGTCCACTCCCAAAAACTCAGCCACTGTGGGGCCCAGTTCAACTCTGAGGTACATAGGGTCACTCTGGGTCTGAATCAACTCAACAGCAGCTGCTTAATACTCCCCGAGGGCAGGAACCATATCTCTTCACGTCATAGCTGTAATATTGGGGCTACCATGAAAGACTGTTGATAGTAAATCAGCCAAAGACAAGGCATCTTGAGAATCACAAACACATGAGAAATGTGAAGAGAAAGGCCCAAGGCCCAAGACCAGCATGTGTCCCATTCCTCCCCTTTCCTGTGCCTCTGTTTCCCTCTGAGGTGCTGGTGGGCCCCAGTGGAGTTTCTTCGGGGACTCACGAACCGCACCTCTGCCTACAGGGGACTGGTCGGAGCTGCGGCTAGTGGGTGGCTCAGGTCGATGCTCAGGCCGTGTGGAGGTCCTCCACCAAGGGAACTGGGGCACCGTGTGTGACGACCTGTGGGACCTCCGTGAGGCTGAGGTCGTGTGTCGACAGCTCGGATGTGGACAGGCCATCTCTGCCCCCAGCGAGGCCCACTTCGGCCCAGGCTTGGGGGATATCCTCCTGGACAACCTCCAGTGCTCAGGGATGGAGCGATGCCTGGACCAGTGTGCCCACTCGGGCTGGTCAGAGCATAACTGTGGCCACCACGAGGATGCCGGCGTCATCTGCTCAGGTAACGACCCCCGTCGGGCTGCTAGTTTCTGATTGTAGTTGGAGGCGTTTGGCAACCATGAATCCTGGATGGAATTTTCATCGCCATCTACCTGCTCTCTCTTGCCGATGGCCCTCCAGCTCCCACTCCAAGCCAGGGCCTGCAC